CCCTGCTCTTGTTCCTGGCTTTGGATTGTTATGCGAGGCAAGGTTCATGGGACAGGGGTGCCTTGGTTATCTGGCTCAGGCTTTTCCCTGAGCCTCAGAGGGAGGGGGCTTTTTCAGCGTCATTAAAATTTTAAAGTGAAGGAATTATTTGTGGGAGTTCAAGGATACCCCCCGGCACTTAATCTGGGATAGACCAGACGACAATGGATTGACTGAGAAGTACAGCAGTGTGGACACCTTTTGGACGCTAGGGCAAGGAAAAAAGATGACCCTGGCCATATATAGGATCCAACAAAGGTCCCAGAAGAGACAAAATGAAGTATTTGAAAGGACAGTACCCACAATCATGGATGGCCGCGGTAACAGAGCAGCTGTACCCAGAGGAGAACAGGGTCTCGTGCCTGCCACCCTGATGGACACCCCGTCTCCTCCACTCACGGGGGGCCCACAGCACTCACCGTCCAGAGCAGATCCTGGTAGTGCACCATCATCTGCACCACCTCGGCTGCCCCCTCTGCCAGCTGCTTCTCCTTGCCCCTGGAGAGTTTGGGGGGCTGCCCTCGGTGCAGGAAGAGATTAGGGGCCATCACTGTGGAAACGTTCCACAGAGTCATCTTGTTGTTCCGCTCTCGGGCCACCACCTTCCTGAGGAATTCCAGGAGCGCCTGCAGGGGGCACAGGACCTCCTTCCAATCTCAGCACGTCCCTGCTGCCCCCCCTCTTCCCCAGAACACCCTGCTGTGCTACTTGGGGGCCATGTGGAAGGAGCCGGGGGCTGGAATAGATTTCAGTTCCAGCTTTGCCATCAGCCCACCCCACGACCTCTCTGTTTCCTGCTCTGCAAAATGTGGCCCAGACCCCTCCCCTTCCCTGCTCCCTCAGGGATTAATGAGACACATCTTCAACTTGCAGCAGAAAAGAGCCACGGCTCTGAGAAGTGGGTCTTTTCATGACAAATCCCAAGACAGCTGCTTTTTCTGAATCTGGGGAGTCTGAATCTGCCCAAAAGGCAAGGGAAAGAATAGGGAAGAAAGGGAGAAAATGATAATAGCTGCCATTTGTTAAGTATTCTTTGTGTTCTTGGTCCCTTAGTTAGCACTTTACGTGCATTTATCATCTCATTTTATCCTCACAACAGCTCTATAAAGTAGGTTCTACTGTACCCATTATACAGAGAAGGAAACTGGCTTGGAGAATGTGCCCAAGGCCACATCGCCGGTAAGGATGAAGGGAAGGAGGGAGGGATAGAGGAGTGAAAAGATGAATGGATGGATGGTTGGGTGGTATGAGGATGGATAGAAGGAAAAAAGGAAGGAAGGAAGGAAGGAAGGAAGGAAGGAAGGAAGGAAGGAAGGAAGGAAGGAAGGAAGGAAGGAAGGAAGGGCATATACTGAGTACCTACAAAGTACCGCATCTTCTACTCTACCATTCCTTATGTGTTAGCTCTTATATTCCCAAAACAATCACACAAATGCTATTGTTATCCTGTTTACTGAAAAGGAAACAGAAATTCAAAGAGGCTCTCTCTTCAACAAAGCTGAGGCACAAGGAGGGAAAGTCACTTGAGCCCAGCTCTATTTGGTTTCGAATACTTCCTTGGGGCCTCCTATGTCCAAATCAGACAAGGAGTCCAGTAGACCTGGGGCCTCCTCACAGCCTCACCCCAGAGGTACATCTGGGGTTTGACCCAAGGACAGGCAGGAGGGTACTGGGAGCTCAGCAAAGGCTGTGCCCCAGCCCATCCTGAGCACCCACTCCCATAACACACCGTGGGAATTCCCTGAAAGAGTATTTCCCAAACTGGTGGCCCACAGAACACCAGTGCCCTGCAAGGCTTTCTATAACAAAAGAGGTCCATGAACTGCTACATGCTCTATCTAGCCCCACTTGGAGATTCACAAAGCTTAAGTGCATCAAAGGTCAAAAGCTCTGAGGAGTCTTATAGGAAAGAATGATCTTTAACTTTGTGTCAGTAACTGCGTGTTTACCCATCTTATTTGAATGCAGAACCCTTTTTTCCGTGACACCTGTGAGCCCCACACAGAGCTGATGTTCGGCAGCGCACATCCTCGTGAGCACTGTGTCCTTTCAGACCTCGTCTGCTCTCTTTAAGGGAAAAGTCTCAGGAAAGACTTGGCCATCACTATTGGTCATCACTGCCCCTACTCCCCGGCACCTAGCAGAGTTGCTGAATGAATGAAGGAGTGAATGAGCATATTTGGAGCCGTCGCTGTGGCTGTGGGCTGACATGATGGAGAGGCAGCAGTTGGAGGTAACTTTTACCTTCAGGGCGTTTCTGTTGGGTTCCGGGAGGACTAGGATGAGCAGGTGCAGGGCCTGCAGGCGCTGCTTCAGGTCAGGGATGTCTGAGGGAAGAGGGAGGACTTGGTCTCAGGTCTGCCAGAGAGGCTCAGGGACTCTGGAGGCCCCATTTGGGGAGTGGAGATTCCAGAGCTGAGAGTCTTCGTTATAAGCCTGGGACTGTTTCCTGGTCTAGTGTCAGCTCAGACAGAGCCCCAACCCGTACTGGTCACGAGGCTCACTCTCTATACCGTGTGAGTAAAAATACACATGCAAACACACACACACGCGTGCACACACATGCCCCAATGTGCAGACTGATAGACATAGCCTAGGGTCAGAAACGCAATGGCCCAGCAACCACCCTTAGGAGAGGAGATAGATAGCTCAACTGGTTTAATAATCTCCTTGTGTTTTGAGGGTTGAAAAGGAAAAGCTGTCCCAAACCTGGGGTCAGGGTCTCCAGGGAGAAGGGGAGATGGCAGGAATAGAATTCAGAGAAAGAATTCATCAGACCAGGCCCATCAGCTGAGAGCTAGAAGGAGCCTGGAGGACAGCTGTGTAGGGGGACACAAAGGCACCCAGTGCTTTGTCCCTAAGATCCTGTGTGCCATTCATTCATTCATTCATTCACTCATTTGCTCAGTCAACAAATACCGTCAAGAACCTATTAGATGCTAAGCTCCAATCCAGGGACCAGGGACATAGCGGTGAAGGAAACAAACAGGCAGCAGATTCATGGAGCTTATGTTTTGGGGCAGAAGACAGACAATAAACAAGCAAAGAAATACCTAAGTATCTTTAGACATTGATTCATACTAAGAAGAAAATAACACAGAGTATTATGACAGGCAGTGCCTAGTGGGCAGACATGTCAGGTCAGGGAGGGCCTTTTTGAGGCGTTGACATTGAGCTGACATCCAAAGGCCAAGAGGCAGCCAGCCACATGATGGAGCGGGGGCAGATTCCCAGGTAGAGAGAGCAGCAAGTGCTGAGGCTGAAGAAGGAAGAGAAATGGTCCTCTCACAGCCAGATGGAGGGGACAGAGGGGTCCAGGAGGGGGAAGAGGAGGAGGTGGGTCAGAGGTGGGAGGGCCTGAGCGAGGAGGGCCCTGTGGCTGGTCGAGAATGAGGGTTTATTCCAAATGGGTTGTGGAGTCTGTGAAGCCACAGAGAGATGTGATCTGCTCTGCTCTACTTGAGAAGCAAAGGCGAGAGAGGATTTCTCTAGGTCCCTGCCCTCCGGCCCTGGGGTGGAAATCAGGCTGCCTGAGGCCTGAAGCTTTTTGGAGAACTGGAGAGAGAATGAGAGAGTGCGCCTAGGCTTCCCTTGGGGTCCCAGGCAGGTCGCTTTACTCTTTTGAGAAAAATATAAGTGACCGTGTTTACCCTCTAAGGATTACGAAGGGACCCAGGTGTGAACACAAATGTGCAGAATACAGAGGGGATCTGTGCAGTGCATGCCAGTCTGCAGATGTGCACACAGACGGACATGCACACACACATGTGCTCACAGATGCACACTTAGATGAACCTGATGAGCTGGATCCTACAGACATTATGAAAAGAAGAAAACTGGTCCATGTGAGGACGAATAAGGACCGTGGTGTGCAAATCTCACTCTTCTCTCCTTCACATTACACACACACACACTTGTGTGCATATACAACACACATGCACACACACAACACATGCACATACGCACACACCTGATAGAAACCACACACATGCACACATGTGCGCACACACTTCCTCCTCCATCAGCTCGAGGTCACAGAGAACAGGTAGTTCTGTCTTCCCACCACTACTCGTCTTGACCCCAGGCCATCAGATGCTCTTCTCCCCAAATGCAAAGGGCTGGAGGACACTCACTGGGCACCACAGCGAAGGCCGGAAGGTACTCCGCAGTGAGCAGAGGCGCCGGTAGCTCCCGGATGAACCTTTTGAGCAAATCGGACGCATCATTGTGGTGAACCTCGTCCCAGCTAAAAAGGCCGGTGTAGAAATCTCTCTCCAGCTTTTGTTCCAGCCCCTGAAGGAAGAAGGAGCATGAACGAGAAGCTGGGCCACGGCTCCAGTAAAAGTTGCTGTACCACTTCTCTGGGCTTCAGTTTCCCCATCTTCAAAGTGGGGATAATAATGGCACCCACCTCGTAGGCTTGACATGAGGATTAAATGACCTAATGGTCACTTTCATTCAACAAATGTCAGCAGTCTGACTCCAGGGCCCGCACTCTCAATCCCTATGCTGTATTGTGCCGCCTCCGCCCTTTCAACCCCTCCTGGAATCCTACACCAGGCAGAGACCTGAGACAGAGCACTGACAGGCCGTGAACTGGATCCTCTCCTGGCTTAATTCACACGAGAGGGTGCTGGGAGGTGCAACCTCAATGACGAAGGGGAAGCCAAACCATTACCTTGACCCTGGCCTGGGATCCAGGCACCCTGAGAATGCCTTCAGTGTCCAGCCCTCTCTTTTCCAAACAGGACAGCAGCTACGAGAGAAAGAAACCAACATTTCAACTGGTGACCACTGAAAAGTGGAATTAGACTAGTGCGTTTGTCTCTCATGAAAACCAAGACAAGGAAAGAGCTAGAAGGTCTCCCTCAAAATAAGAAATAATAGCTTTCTTGGCCACTTCCACGAGCCAGGCATTGTTCTCAGAGCTTTTTTCTTAAATATGTATTTTCTCATTCAATTCTTAAAAGAAGAATGCCCTTATTATAACCCCACTTCACAGATACTGAAAGGCAGGCTCACAGAGGTTCAAAAATTCACCCCAAGTCTCTCAGCTAAGCATGTGTCAGAGCCAGAATTTGAACCCAGCTCTCCTGAGTCTAAAGTCCACGCTCTTATCCCCCAGGCTAGACATCTCCCAACAATTGTGCCCAGAGCCAGCCTCTCGCCAGCTAAATAAGCCCAATCTAGGGACAACTTACAGCTTGAAGGACCAGAGGGACCTGGGTGCTGGGGTGGGCTTTGCGGTCAGCTTCCAGCAGGGCTTCGAGGGGCACACCGAAAAGGCGAGTTTCTGTGGGATGGCAAAAGAACAGAAGGGCATTTCACTTCCTGGAATGACAACTGGGCTCTGACCTGCAAGATCTCCTGGGCGACTGAAATCACACCTTTCCCTGCATGAGGACTGAGCTCTCTGGACAGTGGCCCAGCTCAAACTGGCCTCAGCAATAATGAAGACGTTAGAGGCATCACAGAGCAGGAAATCTCGGCTGGATAAAGAGATGTTCAGAGGAAAACGAGCTGCTGCCCCAGGGAGCGCTGGGTATCAGACGTAACAATGGCCTGGGGTAGAGAGAGGGTCTAGCTCCACAGGGATGGGACTTGCAGTCTTCTCGGGTACACCTGTCCTCCCAAATCTACTCTGCAGTGTCCTTCATTCTCTCTTCACCTGCCTATCCCTTCTCTACTAAAGCCCTACTCCTGGTTTTTCTTATCCACCATTCTCTTGTCTTTAAAGAAACAAAAAATCGCATTGTATAATGTTGACAATGGTGCAGTGAGATGAACACTCTCATACGCTGTTGAAGAGTGATCTATACCAAGAACTCTGTCAGTATATTCTAAAATAATCTAAGACGCATTTAAAGTTGTATATGCAGCAGGAGTAGCGATTGTGTTTTATAATAGGAAAAACATTGGACATAATAAAAATCCACTAATAGGGAAAAGATTAAATAAATTAGGATATCTCCATAAGGAGGAAAATAGTACCCTGGTTAAAAATCTTGTCTTTGAAGAATGTTTAATAGTTGTGGCAAATAATAATATTGTCCCAAATTCATTACCCCTCCATGTCTCTGTACCCTTTTTGCCACGTGAATTTGCAATTCTTCCCATTAAAGAAGCAGAAAATGCTTCCCCACTCCTCGCTAGTCAGCCAGGTGATAGCTTTGGTCAGAGGAGCAGTAGCCTCCATGATGCAAGCAGAGGCTTCAAATACATCGTGTGGTAGGTTCGTCCTCTTGTGTTTCTGCCTTTGTCATCAGAACATGATCCAGATGGCCTGCTGGTCCCAGGAGGATAAGGAGCATGTGAAGCGGACCCAGCCCCAACCCACAATTTGGAACTAAGCCTAGCTTAGATCAGCCAACCAATCCCCCAGTTCACCTAAAAACATGTGAACAAGAGTAAATAATTATTGATTTGTCATTAGTTTTGAGGTTGCTCGTTATGTAGCATTATTGTGGTAATAGTTGAATGAGATAACTGAGAAATGCCCATATTTCTATAGTATTCAGTGAAAAAAAGGATACACATACATGGGGGGAGGAGAGAAAGAACGTTACTAGTGCTTATAACTGAATTGTATTTTTCCTTTTTGGATTTTACTCTATGTCCCAAATTTCCTACAATAAGCAGGAATTGTTTTCATATGCAGCAAAAATACACACAACAGAAGGAAGTAAAGCAGCTAAGCATGTTTTGGTGGAAGATTCCTCACACAGCTCCCTGGGTGAGAAAGCCAGGACTACAGCCACAGGGATTTTGAGGAGCCCCGACTGCTGACCTGCCGCCTTCCGCTTCCCGGCTTTGCTCCTCTTCAGGTCCAAGCCGAGGACGTCACAGAGTGCAGTCAGCTCGATGAGGGCCAAAGCAGGGATCTTCTTCATGTCCTGCAAGGCCAGGTCTCCTATCCTCGTCAAACCAAGTCTGCCTTTGGGGATCCTGAACTCCTAGGGAGAGAAGTAGAGACAATCGCTCAAGCCACAAGTCCTGCGTGTGTTGTGGCTCCACCCCCTTCTCCATGCCCCGCCCCTCCACCTCCCCTCACCCCACCTCCCTGATTAGGCGGAGGAAGCGCGGAGTGGATGAGAGCAGAGGCTCTGGATTCCATCCCAGATTCAAGTCCAAGCTCTACCTCTGACTGACTGGGTCACATTCTTAGCCTCTAATCCCCCACCTGTAATCATAAAATAGTGCCTGCCTCATAAGGTTTTTGTGAGATTAGGGTGCCAAACACATAGGGAGACCCCAATCAATGGAAGCTGTTTCTACTGCCTGCATTTCAACACGTGAAGCTGGGGGAGAGGGATTTCACACTCACACACACACACACACACACACACACAACGGGCCTTTTGTTATTGCTTCTATTCTGGTCTTTTGTTGCTCTCCCTCACCCCATCTGACCCTACCCTTGGCCGTGCCACCCCCAGATCCAGTGTTCTTCTTCTTCACTCTGAATAATGATAGAATATTAACTGAAAAATAAATAATGCCTGACAGCGCCATCTAGAGGCAACAGTGGAGATCTGCAGGCAGCTCCAGGAATTCCTGCCTTCTATGGTGAAAAAGAACAAGAGCGAGGACCAGGTTTGTTCAGTATTTGTCTGGAGGACTTGACCAGATTAGGCCCCGGTACCCCATTCGAGCACTCCGTCAGAGAAGGGAAAGGAAGCATGTGTGTGGTCATATGTAATAACGTTATGGCTATAACACGATCTATTGCTTGCTATATGGGCTATGAAGTCACACTCTCTGGGTTCAAATTGTGACTTCACCTGTGAGTTTGGGTAAGCAATTTTACATTTCTGTCAGTTTTCTTACCTGTAAATTGGGGCTAATAGCAGTATCTACTTCACAGGGTTTGGGGGAAGATTAAATTTGATAAAGCATATAAAGCAGTGCCTGACACATAGTGAGTACTCAATTATTATAATTATTATTTAAGTTTATTTACACAATTACTACCCACGGAGTAAAATTAAATCATGTATGTAAAGTACTTGGTATAATGCCTGGTCCACAGTAAGAGGTCAATATGTGGTATCTTTAGCATTATTAATCATTATCATCATTCATAGTTTAATGGAGAAGTCAAATCATCAAGTCTAGGAGATAATGTTAAACATTAATTATCTGATACTTTAGAAATAGAAAGTCATTCTTTAAAAATTTTATTTGATGTACTATGGTTACATAAGATATTACCACTGGAGAAATGAGCTGAAGAGTACATGAGAACCCTGTACTATTTTTGCTGTGTCTTGTGACTCTCAAATTATTTTAAAATAAAAAGAAAAATTCTATTTGAGTGAATGAAAGTACTTGCACTTTGGATTAGAGGTTATTGCAGGGATGGGAGCAAATTCCTTAAGCAGTAGAGAGTAATGGTTAGCAGGGGGCCTGGCTGCCAGCCTCCTCACCGGCAGGGAACCCTTGCTCCAGGCACAGGTGTCTCCCAGGGGTGGCCTGCTTCTCTGCAGCAGTGCGGCTTGTTCCGAGTACGCAGAGTCCATGTGGAAGGCTTCCTCCCTCCTAGCCTGTGGCTGCGGCCCCTCAGGCTCTGCTGCTGCTGGGGAAACAGAAGGGAGAGGCATTCAGGACTGGCTTCCTCCCTCTTCCTCCAAGCTCAGAGCCCCAGGAAGTGATTTCTCAGGCTTGTGCCCTTGCTCAGGCTCAGTAAACTCAGCAGCAGTGCCTAAGATTAGGGGGCTGAGATCATGACGCCAGGAAGCAAGTTCTTAGGCTGAGGACTCAGGCCCTTTGTCCCAAGAAGTGATTTCCCAGGCTCCCGCTCAAAGCCCCAGGATTAAATCAATAAGTTTAGGACTCTGACGCATTGCCCAGGAAGTAATTTTCTAGCTAAGGCCCATTGCCCCAGGAAGTGGTTTCCTAGCTAAGGCTCATTGCCCAGGAGGTGATTTTTCCAGGCTGAGGCCCATGGGCCTGATGGGAAAACTCTACTCAAGGGCCCAACTTGTCCCTTTGGGGTTTCTTCCTACTGCCTTCAAGCAGGAAAGGCAAGGAACCAGCAAGAAGAGGAAAATGCTCAGAGGTGCGCACCTTCTCTTACGTCTCAGAGAAGCCCCTTGGTGCAGCCTGGAGGATCCCTAGGGCCCTAGAGAATGAAAACTACTTACCTGGAGAAGACGTAGGGGTCCCGGAACTGATCTGGGTCCATTTCATACTCGAGTCTCCATTCTCTGAAGACATTTCCTATGCAAATTACACATAATTCCCACTTAGTTGTGTGGGAGGCAGATGATACCCATGCAACCTTGGGAAATAGAAGCCATTCATGACCCATCTACACAGCGGGAACTAAAGCTCAGAGATCTTGCCCAAGATGCCACAGCTGCCAAGTCGGGGGTGGGCATTGGGGCCCAGGTCTGTCTGCCTTCAGTGTCTATCGTATCAATCATGTGTTATGCCATTTCGAATCCATTCCAAGAAAGAATCAAATGCCCACAAACTGTCAGGTTACAAGTGCCAGCAGGATATACAAATGACAATAAAAAGTATTAAAATTGTACTGATAATAGTTATATAGAGAGAGTACTTAAGCTTTCAGGTCTACCCGAGGACACAGTGACAACAAACACACTCTGGCATACACGGCAGACAGACCTATACGCACCATGGGGACACAAGGGCATCCAAGCCCATATGTGAGCACACACCAAGACAGTCCTGCAGCAGAATCACCGCATCGCTTAGCTGTGGTGGCATCACAATGGCCCCAGACAGACAGGGCCTGCAGTGACCCTTATGCTACTTACTTACCTGTGAATTGAAGCCCCCAAAGATATCCCTGACATCTCTGACAGGTGCCTTGTGTCGTCTTCGGGCCGAGCGGGTGTAGATGTCCAGCCGGCGGCATACAGCGGCCACCTGGGTCTGTGTGAGGGTGGACAGGAGCCCCCGGTGATGACCGTCCAGGCCTGGGCCACCAAGGAGGCCTGACAAGCCTGTGTCTTGTAGCCACTGGGATTCCATTTCTCCTTCTGCCAATAGAGGGGCAAATGACACCTTTCATCAATGCCCAGATGAACACACACAGCCACACACTCAGCCACCAGCACTAATCGCACACAGAAACACACACTCACATGGAAGCAGGAAACATCCATCTATCTGATCATGAGACCCACTAACACCAACTACACTCTTCAATGGGGAGAAGATCTGACAAACATCTGAGACTTTGGGAGGAACGGATGGTGTTAATCAGTATCTGAATTTAAACCTATTGCTCCACATTCTCTTGGAAATAGCAAGCTAAGGAATGGCGTCTATATGTTCTGATTCTAGAATGTAGCAATGAACTCACTCCCCGTCCCATATCTGGAAGAGACCGCCACAGGGTCATGTGGGCCCATCCGTGGAGAATGTGGGCAAGCAGCTGGTGTCCCCTTGGGAAGTCTCACTCTAGTCAAGACTGCTTGTTTCGGAATAGTCCCCTCAACTATTTGTGCTTTGTAAGGAAACTGCCATGGTCCTACAGCAAAACCATTCACCCAAATAGTGGGGACCTGTGTAACTGCAGATTCCCAAGTCCCAACTCCAGAGAGTCTGTCCTAGGAGTTCAGGCTCAGGGCCTGGGGATCTGCACTCGAGTCCCCCCGCCAAGGTGATTCTAATACAGCGGAGTCTGAGATCATACTTGAGAAATGGCCTGGCCAGTTCCTCCTTTCTTCGGGAGGAAGTTGTACCCATGTGTGAGCGTCGGATTAGTGGGGTGTATTTAGTTATGCTCAGTGTTGACCAAGTTAGTCAACTAGGTGTTGGTGGCTCAAAAAACAAAACTGCTTTTACAGAAGCCCACATTGTGCAGATAAGCCAGGCACAAGAGTCTTTCCAGTCTACGGCCATGCCACCCTGAACGTGCCCAACCTCGGAAGCTAAGCAGGGTCAGGCCTGGTTAGTAGTACTTGGATGGGAGACCACCCAGGAAGATCAGGTGCTGGAGGCATTAAAAAAAAAAAAAAAAAAAAGTCTTTCCCCAACGTCTCCCCTGCACTTGGGAACCAAACAAACCCTTCCAGGGCAGCCACATTTTGTGGGTCCTCCCCTAACTTGTGCCAGCGAGCGAAGGCACTGTTTCTACTGTAATGTCAGGGCCTTTTTCCCTTCCTGCTAACCACGGTGTCATTTGTACAGAATCTTACAAAAAAAAACAAACCAGTGTTTCCTGGTTTGCAGAAGTTCACCTACCACCCTTGTCATTTTATCTGCATTTCAATCGTCCTGTACAACTATTTACTAAATATTTTTCCCTAATCATGGGTTACATTTTTACTTAAACAAATTTATTTTATTTTATTTTATTTTATCTTAATTTAATTTAATTATAATTACTTTGGTGCATTGGCCCACAACAAACCAATCCATTTTAAAAGGAAACACTATCCCAAGCATAAATGGAGCATCCACATCACCTGCCTACATAAAAGTTAATGGGAAGCAATGAATATATTAACATTCTCGGCTCCATGCCACCCAGAGGCTCTCGCTGTCCCGTGAGTCTAAAAAAGCTCCCATTTCCACTTAGCTGTCTAAACCCCCTTTTCCACCTCGACCTCAGCTCCTCTGTTTTGTTTGAAATGGGATTGACGGCCATATGATGACGGCAGACAGGTCTCTTGCAGTGGAGGCCATCTCCTAAAACGACCTCTTAGATCACCAGAATTTGCATTTTACAGTCGGAGACACTGCGGTAGACCATTCGGCCTCTAGGAGATCTAAGCCTCCCGTGTGACCACACGTTTTGTACGCCACAGACAAGCATATGCCAAACCGAGACGGTTTTTGTGCAGATGCCCTTTCGTTCCCTCGTTCCCTGAACAAGTGAGATGGAGCACGAGAATGCGCTCGGCTCTGTTTAAAACGCTGAGGATACAGTGATGGACAATGACCTTAACCTCGTGGAGCTTGCACTCAAGTGGGGGACACAGATAAATGTGCAAATAAATACACCGTGTGACGTCAGGTGGGGATAAGTGCTCTAACAATAAATAAAGCAGGGCAAGGGGCTAGAGAGTGAAGGCCAGGGATACACAGGGAAGTCAAGCTGTCCAAGGAGGTGACATCTGAGCCCAGTCTTGACTGGAGAGAACAAGCCGTGGAGATCCTGGGGGAGGAGCGCTTCGGGCAGAGGGGGCAGCGAGGACAAAGGCTCTGCAGCAGGGGTGGGCCTTCGTGGTCAAGGAAGCAAGGAGGCCCACGCGGCAGCGTGGAGAGGTAGAAAGACAGGTGGGAGGGCGCGAGGCAAGGGGAGCTTGGGGCCAGTTTTGTAAAGCCTCGTCAGCGGTGATGTGCTGGTTTTACGTGTCCCTGATTTCTCTGACTCTCACCCCGTTAAGAGGTGGGGTCTAGTTCCCTTTCCCTTGAATGTGGCTGTACATAGGGAAATAGGATATAGCGGAAGCGACGCTGCCTTTCTTCCAAAGCCGGTCACAAACGGCGAGCCAGCTTCTGTCCGGCTCTCCCCGCTTCTCCCACCCTCTCTCTCCACCCGCCCTCCACCCTCCTTTCTCTCAGCTTCTGTTCTTGGAACCCAGTTGCCTTGCAGTGAGGAAGCCCAGGCCTCACACTGAGGCCAAGAGTAGATACTCCAGGCAACAGTCCATGTGAAGCCCAGCTGTGGGTCACATCCACCACCAGACACAGGAGAAATCTTTTGCGATGACTCCAGGCCCAGCTACCATCTGACTGTGATTGCATGAGAGTCTCTGAGGGAGAACCGCCTAGCTGAGCCCTGTAAACCCCAGAACAGTAAGATCTAGTAATAATAATAATAATAAATAATAATAATCTAACTTACATTATTAAAAGAACATTTTGACTGTTGCATGGAGAACAGACGGCAAAGAGCAAGCGTGGAGCAGAAAGACCAGCGGAAAGGATACTGCACCAGTCCAAGCAAGAGAGAAAGCTCTCTCATGTTCCAGTTGGTGTCTGGACCTCTCCCATGTCTGCCCCTTCCACCCAGCAGCCCCCTCCAGGGCTCCTCACCCTCTGGGGGTCGACCTTCACCCCCGCTGCCATCCTCTTCTTTCGGCTCATTCCTCTGTTGGATCTGCTCCACCTCCATCCAAAAGCCATCCATGGACAAGCTCTCCGCCGAGGACAGCCGGGAGTGGGAGCATTGGGCGGGGCGTGCTCGCAGGAGGTTCTTCTGGGGAAGCTGATTCATTGGACCTGAGGAGGGGGCAGAACTGCAGCAAGCAGGGAGGGAGGGGAGAAGTCAGGCAAAGCTCTGCTCCTGATGGAGTTTGTCTCGAGGCTTTGTGGTTCACCAGAAATCTGCCTGGAGCTTCTGGAATTGGGCGAGCTTATCGAGTATACTTCTCAGGGTGACAGACACGCAGCTAGTCTCAGCAAATTTACTAGTTTTCCCATCACCCCCCCTCAGAATCACTCAGAAACAAATGATGCTGCAGAGGATGGAGAAAGCACCACACGCCTCTGCTTCTTTCTTCCTTCTTGGGCAAGGTGAACAATCTTTGACACACGTATGGAAGAGCCAACGTTGATAAGAGGGAATTAAACACCAGGGCGCATGAGGAAATTACAGTGCAGATCCTGACTCATCTCACTAAATTTTTACCTGAAATGTCAATTGGCTCCTCCCCACCCACACCCCCTTATTTGTGAATCTGGCTTCCATGGCCCTGGCTTCCCTATTTACAACACATGACCACCTCAGCCCCTCCTCTCCTCCAGTCAAATCTGAACAGACTGAATGAAGCCCCAGATCACAGAGGTTCTATCCACCAAACGAGCCAATCAGATTCTCTCAAGAGATTCAGGGAGTTAGTGTCAGGTACGTGAACTGGGAAGCCATGTGAAAATGGTGGGGCGAGAGCAGCCAGTCTCCTTTTAAAAAAGCAAAAAGAGGACCCTCTGCAGCCATGGAGAGATGGTGAGGGACCGACCTCAGCTGGATTTTCCAGGTCGCAGTTCCAGCCTCTCCTTGTTCAGCTGACGGCGTTGTGGTTTACCCTCAGAGCCCCAGATCCCTGCCGCTCCTCTTCTTCACTAACTATTTGGTTCCACTTTGTGCAAATAATCCCAGAATAAGACCGTGCCAGTCTCCTGGCCCAAATAAATGACATTCTGGTGCTTCAAATGAGTTTGGGGATGCGATTTCTATGCTGCTGCCCTTGAGACATGGTGGATTGGGAGCCGGAGTCCACATAGACCCTAAGACATGTCAGCAAAACAGATCATAGACCACCTTGTCACTAGAGAGGGAAAATATATGCCCGATTTCATCCAACAGGAAAAAAGTATATTCCGCAAATTCTACAGATATTTTGGGTTTGGTAATGATCCCAGGCAAGATTATAGAACAAATTCCTTATTCCAAAGGAAACAATAAACATAGATGGTCTGAACTGTTTGGTTAAAAGAAAAAGACTCCATTTGTCTTTTTAAAAAATTTTTGTAAAATTTATTGGGTGAGATTGATTAATAAAATTACATAGGTTTCAAGCGTACAATTCTATAATACATTATCTGTATATTGCATTGTGTCTTCACCACCCAAAGTCAGGTCTCCGTCCGTCACCGTATATTTGACCCTCTTACCCTTAGCTACTTCCCCCTTTCCCTCTGGTAACCACCATACTGTTGTCTGTGTCTAGTGAGTTTTTGTTTGTTCGCTTGTCTTGTTTGTTCGTTAGTTGCTTTCAGTTTAATATCTCACATAAGAGTGAAATATGGTTCTTGCTTTTTCCATCTGACTTATTTCACTTGGCATTAGATAGTCTCAAGGTCCAGCCATGTTGTCGCAAATGGCACTATTTCATTTTTCTTATGGCTGAGTAGTATTTCATTGTATATATGTACTACATCTTCTGTATCCAACTTGGCTTTTTTAAAAAGTCATCCATTGCTGCTTTAAAAAAAAAAAAAAAAAAGCACACATACCCCAGTCATCAGGGAAATGCAAATTAAAACTGCAATGAGATATCACCTCACATCTCTTAGAATGACTTTTATCAAAAAGACAATAGAAAACAAGTGCTGGTGAGGATGTGGAGAAAAGAAAACTCTTGTGCATCGTTGGTGAGATTGTAAACTGGTACAGCCATTATGGAAAACAGTATTAAGGTTCCTCAAAAAATTAAAAATAGATTAACCACGTGATCCAGCAACCCACTTCTGGGTATGTATCCGAAGGAATTGAAATCACTGTTTTGAAGAGATATCTGCAGCCCTGTGTTCACTGAAGCATTAGTCACAGTAGCCAAGACATAGAAACAACCGAAATGTCCATCGTGGATGAATGGATTAAAAAAGCATGATATGTAGATATACAACAGAATATTTTTAAATCATAAAATCAGGGAAATTCTATTGTTTGTGACAACATGGATGGAACTTGAGGGCATTATAGTAAGTGAAATAAGTGAGACAGAGAAAAACAAATGCTGTGTGATGGAATCTACAAAAGCCAAATTCATAGAAACGGAGTAGATGGGTAGTTGCCAAGGGTTGGGAGGTGGGGGAAATGGGGAGATGTTGGCCAAAGGATATTGACTTTCAGTTACATGACGAATAAGTTCTGGGGATCTAATGTACAGCATGGTGACTATAGTTAAAATACTGTATTTTATACTTGAAAGTTGCTAAGAGAGACGATCTTAAATATTCTCACCACTCACACAAAATAACGATAACTATGAGAGGTGACCAATGTGTCAACTACTTTTTTATGGTAATTATCTCACAATATGTAAGTGTATCAAATCATTACACGTGTCCCTTAAACATAAACAATGTTATATATCAATTATATCTCAACAAAGCTGGGGAAAAACACAAACAATGCAAAAGAGGAAAAAAAAAAGAAAGAAAAGACCAAATATTAGATAAATGCTTACAAAAAGAATAAAGTTATCCATAAGACTTTCAGATTAAGAAGCATTCTAAGGAGGAAAAAAAAAGAGTAAATCCACAAAGAACCTATGACAATTAGGTGACTTCGTGCACTTAATAGCATAGCAAAAAATATAAGCAGGAACTGCTAGCAGTGTGAGACTGACAGAAACATTGGTTTTATCGTTTGCCATCTCCCCATATGAACCTGGCTTTCCAGTTACGAGTGTGCAAGTTCTCCAGTCTCTCTCAGTCCTCCATGTCTTTGCAAAATTTGCCCTTTCTACAAAGGCTGGGCTTCCCCAACCCTGGCCACCACATCCCTTTTACATGTGATCTGGTCCACGCTTGTTGCTCGGAGACGATCTTAAAATGAGAGCCTGGTGAGGTAAGGAAAAGCAAGTCTCAATGCCAGGCACATTGCAGGAGGCCGTCAGCACTGAGGGACAAGGGAAGGGTAAAGGGACATCACAACGTCACAAGTGAGCGGAGCACGGGGCCGGTGGACATCGCGGCTGCCTTCCCAACATCCTTTCCACTCACTCCCCATTGCGTAGCAGCCATGACCGTACCCCAGCCTAGTCACAGAAATGGGTTCAGGTCAGTTTGGATTAAGAACCTTTGTGTGCATGCCTGCTGCTGGGTCTGGCGTTTCTTTTGGGGTGTTCTAAGATTGACGGTAATGATGTTTGTACAACTCTGTGAATATGCCAAGTATACTGTTGGACTGTATACTTTAAATGATTGAATTATGTGGTATGCGAATGATATGTCAATAAAGATAGTATTTAAAAACAAAACACAAGAACCATTGTGTGCATCCCTCCAGCCACAGAATTGTTTCAAGGAAGGAAATGCTCAGGACTCTTGTTGGGAATTCTAGGGTACAGACAATTTGCTCTAGATGGGGTGAAAATGAGACGTCTTCAAGGAGTTGGCCGTCACGCAATGGGGATCCAGGCTCAGAACAGAGTGGATACCACACACAGCATTAAAAAGAATTTTAAACTGGGTCCTAGATGACATCACTGAGCAGTCGAATCACAAGAGGGTCCCCCACACAGCGCATTTTACTTGAAATATCCTCCTCTGGGTATATTGCTTTTTAATCCACTCCCTCTTGATAGATGCTTGGGTGTTTCCACTTGTCAATATCACATATAACCCTGCTAAATATAAGCATCCTCATATTTAGAATCTTGTTCCTCTGTGCAGAGGTAATAGTAGAAGAGAAATTGCTAGAAGTGGACTCGCCTCGTGCATGGTTTAGTGCTCTGCCAGCACCATCTTGAAATTCTTGAATCATTTTGCACGTGGCCTGCCCTGCCAGTACCTTACCGATAGACCCCGGCTTGTGTGTTTTTCCCAAGTGTCCTGCCCACACACTGAGCTCGACTCCAAGTTAAAAATGCCTCCATCGCTGAAACATACTCAAATGCGGTCAAGCAGGGCATGCAGCCTCTCCCCGGCAACAGCTTGGCCAGGCACATCTCACTGAGCAGAAACTCAACTGGAGACGATTCCCATTTAATTATAAAATTGGCTGTTCCGCTCTATTTATGCTTTTAGAGAAAACTGCTAGTCAGTGTGCCTCCTGCAAATCTGTCGTTACCCCATGCTGGTGCACAGCTCGGTTTCCTTAGTGGCTTTGTAATTCGCTTGGAAATTACCGGCATCTGTGTGTTTTCGTGACAATTTGAAAACCACGCAGTGAGCGAACCCAAACAAAAGTTATTAACTGTGTCACCACTTGGACACAGCTAAGCAGTGAAAGGGGAACAATCGTTGCTTTAGGTGAACTTTTTGAGACAGGGGCACAAGAAAGAACAGAAACGAAATAAAACCCCAGCCATTCTAAAGCTGTTATTGTTCCAAGATCACGTTTTGTGGTGTAGCAACGAGTCCCCCATTTAGCCAGACAGCGGGCGCTCCGCACAGCCGCACATTTGTTCTGAGCGTCACACGCACAGCCCATTTTTTTGTTTCGTTTTGTTTTTAACATTTTGATGTATAGTATATGCAAAACAGTGCACCGATCCTAAGTGTACAGCATGATTAATTGTCCCCGGTCGTAATTTTCTTTTTAGGCATTTACTAAGCACTTACTACATGCCCACTAAGCACTAGATAACCAGATGAATAAGTTTAGAACTTGGGCTCCAGTGTCAGACGGGTCAGACTTTGAATCCAAGGTCTGTCGTTTATGAAGAGTGAGGTAACGTTGGGGAGCCCGTGAGCCAGACCAGCCTTGGTTTCCTCATCTTCACGTGGGGACGACCTGAGGCAGTGTGGTTAGGAGCTACTTTATTCAGTCAGCAAATGTTCGTTGAGC